CCTTATAGTTTACTCTTCCCAAATTCTCTTTCCTTATTTTACCCCTCTCTTTCTTCTACAACTGGTTTAATATCTTCATGCACTTTGATCCTTGGGCTTGGACGTATCTCCTCTTCACACACAAAATTCCTGTAAACACTCTCCTTCCATCTCTGTGTAACCCTCATTTCTTTAAAAAAACAAAAACAAAACCCAAACCTCTTCTGTGTTACTCCTCCTAGTATTAAATCACCAGATCCTGTCTTTATATGCAATATTAAAATTCAAATAGCACACAGACATGCTTTCTCTGACAAAGGGAGAAAACATGTCTGCTTAGAACCAGAGGGCTAGGATTCCTGTGGCTGTGTCCCTGTTCTTCAATTTCCCCCTCTGTACAAAACAGATAATGCCTAATATTCATGAAAGCCACAGAGGAAAGGTATTATAAAAATGCAGGTAGTGTTGCTATAAAAAGTACCTTTCATGTACTACTCAGCTATGAGTAAACATTTGAAAGTAAAAGAATGTTTAAATATCCTTCATCATAGTGTCATTCCATTGCATGATGTGCTCAGAAGGCTACATTGCAGATTAGCCTTATTTCCCTGGCTTAGTACAGAGCCAGAGGGACCATCCTATATTGCCTTAATGAATACAGGCCTGAACGACTTCTGCATTGTACCTATTAGGCTACTTAAGCAAAAGCTGGTCAATTAGTCTTCATAGTACATATTGCTCTACAATTTGTGTGAAGAGATACAAGAACTATGGCTTCATTATTTTCCTTTTCTTTTTTTTGCTTCACCATCTAAGAGAAATAATAATTGTCACAAAAGAAGGTAAATCAAGTACTGTGCTATATTTATCCTGTATTACATTTACTAACAAGAGGGACACATCAAATGAAATTTGAAATACAGCAAATGTAAAGCTGTAAAATGAAATCTGTTTTTATATAGCACTCAATTTTTAGAACTCATTGCTGAAAAAAATATGTAATCCAAAGTTTTATCAACATTTTAAAATATTTAGATATTTTGATGGCTAATGAAAACATGCAGTACTATGTTGCACTGGATTTTCAAATTTTATATAAACCCCACTTACTTCCGGGTACAAACTAACCACCAGCTGGAGGGTTTTAGAAGGAAATTTACTCTTATTGAATATCCAGAGAAAGCAATTGCTCAGATAAACAGCTTACAAATAGGAGATTTCAATTCATTCTGTAAAAGTTGGCAATGTATGATTTTCATATGAAATGCACTCTCTAGTGTACTGTGGAACTGAACACATTCTCCTGTTTTCTGCATTCAGTAGACAGCTGGAAACCTGAACAGGATGCCAAATGTATGTGACCTACATTAGTAGCTTGAAGGCATTTGCTGAAATGGAATCTAAGATATCAAATCTTTTAGCTAGGATTGCTTTGAGTATTATTTACAGAATAATTTTGAAACAGATGCACTATTTTTCAGTTTCCTGATATTTAAAAGGCTTGTTAATTTGTTTCTTGCTTCTCTTTTTTTCTCTTTCTTAACTCCTCCCCTGTGACTCTCTCTTGTGGCAAAATATTAATCATTAAAAGTATAAAATAGTATTTCTGCCTTGCTAGCATTAAATAAAGCAGTTCCATCAGTCAGAACTATGTTAAAGCTATAAATGTATTTCTCCAATTGGTTCAAGAGAAAGAACTTCACTGCTTGTATTACAGTGACGTGAACTTAATCTGTAAGTTAATTTATTTGTCCTTCTGTATTTGTGGATTCTTTAAGCTTTCTTTTATGTGTATAATGCATTCAGTGATCTTCTGTAAAATACATAGAAGTATATATATTGTTATGGGACACTTTTGTTTAGTTATCCAGTGTTAAGAGCATTTAGAATGAGTTTATGAACATGAAGCCTAGGGCCCAGTCCTGGAGCAGTATTTGCTATCCTGAGTAATCGTAATGAATTCAAACATTAGTCTTTATAGTGCTTACTACTAGGTGTTAGTCACACTGAAATCAAATGCTACTGCTACTGCTTACTGTCCTGAGATTTATCAAGGGAATAGGGATTTAGGAGTCTGATCTTGTGCCTGGTCCAGCCCTCAGGTCCCTAATAATAATACAAGGCACTTAAACATGTCCCAACGTTTGGAAATTGATGGAAGTTTTTTGCCTATGCCTCTTCTGCATGGGCCCCTCTAAGATGACAGTCTCAAAAGACTACCATTGTTTCTTGACCATTGATTTCCATTTTAAACATACAATGTCTTCTTCTTGTGTATGACTTCAGAAAGTTGATTCCTCCAACCATTTAAGGGTAGATCCATCAATATTACTGCAGTCTTTCAGACTGTTCACCCCCTCTGGTGGACCATCTGGAGGGGAGTCAGTATATGTTGGACTGTCTGATCTACTTTGCCATATGGGCATGATGGTGAGTTTCTAAATTAGAGTACAATATGTGGCAGACTTGCTGCTTTTGCCTGGCAAGCCCAGCTTAGAGAAGGACACTTTGGATTGGTGGAACATTTCCACCAATCAGGTAACAGCTCGGAGGGGCTTGGCCTGCCCCTGCTTGGGGGGGGGAGGATGCGAGGAGTCCCTGGACCTGATTGAAGACTGCACTTTGCAGGTCTGGCAGACTTCAAGGGCTGGGCCTCCAGTGTATATAAAATCCCGGCATGCTCAGCACACTGGGCAGATGCAGCGATGGATGGTGAGGCAAGAGGAGCTCCAGAGAAGACCATCATCTGGACCCCGCTTGAACCTTGATGGTGTGTGGATCGGCACACGGAGAGCTGGTCCTAGGAGCAGCTCAAGGCTGCTCAGGCCTCACATGGTGCACAGGTTGGTGCATGGAGAGTCGGCCCTGGGAGCAGCTTGAGGCTGCTCAAGTTAGCCCTGGCTCTAGGTCGGATAACCAGAGCCCCACATTATGACTCGGCATTAAACTAAAAGAGTCCCGATGCCCAGACCAGGGCCTAGGAAGGGGAAAAACCCCTGGTGTGAGGCTGGGGAACCGGAGCCAGTGAGGGCTCAGCTCCCATAGGAGCTCCCTGGGTGCCCAACACGGGGCACAAGGCCCAGAGGGAAGAACTTCAACTTGAGGCCAACAGCTCCACGAGGCCTGAGATGGTGTGGGGACCCAGAGGCCAGATCGACAGCCCCCAGAGGAAGGACTGCGAGTTACTGGGAACCCAGGTCCCACAGGGGAGGCACCCCCGAGCCAGGGACCCTGGGGGGAGTGGGCCTAGGGGGAGAAGACCCTATCCCAAGTGGTTGGAACCCAGATAGGGTGTGTCTAATATTTGGCATAGTTATGTTTCCTATTTGGTATCTATTGTTATTGTTGATATTATAAATAGTTGCATGTATTAATTCTGTATAATGGGCTCTGCAAGGATGTCTTTATTAGCTAACCCACTTGTGGTATAAACTTGCTAGATTGACTGTCCTCAGATCCACCCCTCTTCTGGGCCTGAGGCACAGGTACTTACCTGAATGCCCTCCCTAGGGCCATGTTGGGCTTGGGCTAACTCTATAGAGGAGAATGGGATTCGCTCAAAATTCTGGCATCCCTCTCACAGCACCCCCTCCTGCCTACCCATCCCATCTGATTGAGAATAGGGCACACCTGTGGGTGTACCCGGGTTACAAATACAATATATTGTATTGTATTGTATTGTATGTGTAGTTTTTGTTTTAATTTTAATTTCTGGATTTTTTTGTTTCCAGGATGCATTTGGATATGTTCAAACTTTTTTCTGCAAGCTTGAGAAAAAGGAAATTCATCTTTTTTAATGAAAACAGATTTTTATATGTATATGAATTTTAAGATAATCTCATTATTTTGGGAATCTAACTCTTTTTTTTATATTTGAGGTTGGCCTTATAGAATATGTAGGTCTGAAATTAAGACTATTAAAATATTTTGATCTATTATACTTGTGCTTCAGACATGAAAGAGAAGTGACATATGATTTATTCTTGTTCATACTTCTTAGCAGATAAAAATGTCTTTAGTTTTTGCAAGTGGCAGATTTGTTAGTTCTTGGTAAAGCAAAAGAAAAGACTGTCAGAGCTAAGATTTTTGTAACTGGAAAGAACATTAACTGATGTTGGTTACTTTCAAATCTGCAGATAAGGACAAACTGCTGAGAGCAACTAGTCATTTGATTTTTAAAAAGTAGATTTTTAGCTACATTGCTTGCTTCCAGTAAACTGTCCCTTTAAAGGAGCCTTTTATGTCAATGAGTTACAAAACTGGCCAAAAACACTTGTATTTCACTGAGGTTGCATTTTATAGTTAGAAAAAAAAGGGGGGGGGAAATAATAAATTAAAAAGAACTATGGAAACCAATGTTAAATATTGGTATCTTTTCCTCTGCTTCTGAAAGAGCCAAACCTGCATTTTAGGTTTCCTCTTAGAACCTACACTGCACTCTAATCAAAACTCTTTTTTCAGTACTAATGTGCGCAGACATTATTCAACATCCAGAATTATGATTATGTGATTTGTTTTAATAGTGTTATTAAAAATACATATGTCTTTGTTTGCACTGGAAACTGGACCTTAAACTCTACCCCAAGAAATAATGCAGTAGATAGTTACTCAGCTCCTAACTCCTGAGTAATCAGGAAGCTATAGACTCTAGAGCTAGGGACAGACATTCAAAAGTATGAGCCTGAACTGATTCAATCTTTGCAGTTTAGTCTAACGTCCCCTCCGTGATTAGGCAGCGCGGAACCAAAGCCTCCAGATGCACGGACTACTAACTAGAAACTTAACCCTGCGAGACACCGGCTGACACTTACCTGGATGATTCTGCAGCTGGAGATCTCCTCTTGAGCCCCAGGGTGATCCAGGGAGTAGCTCAAATTTGCTGGTGCCTCCAATCCGGGCCACTGTAAGGGCAAAGATAAAAAGAAAAGAAATAAAATACCTAGAACAACATAACGGGTCAGGAGTGGTCATTCTGTGGGTACCAATTAACAACTCATCAATCTCTTTCCTCCCTTCATAAGATCCCAGTTGTGGCAGGCAAGAACCAGAGGAACGGGCGGTACCCCGCTAACCCGATAACGCTGCCTTTCAAAAAACAAGGTACGTATCTTATTTTGGGGAGCATTGTATGTGAGAAAACATGTTATTTTCCTTCTCTAATGAACATAGATGGATGCCCAGTAAGTTATCCTTTTCTGTTTAATTTGCTGTAGGTCAGATCTTCCTATTTCCTTATCCTATCTTCCTTTAAAATTCATGAGAACTTTGCTTAGGTAGGATGACCAAGTTGCCCAAAGTTCAGCCCAGTATCATTCCAGAATACAGCTGTGAACACAGATGACTAGTGCAGGGGTGGGCCAAACCTCTAGTCTATGGGCCAAATCCAGCCCACAGAGCCATGACATCTGGCCTGTGGCGATCCCCATAAGTATGAAATATTGACAGCAGAGAAGCAGCAAAATCTCTTCATGGCAGGATCTAGCCCTGCCCAGGCGATTACCAAGCAGCAGGATCAGGGATGGTTCCACCCCGACCCCACCACATCCGGATGGGGCTGGACTGCAACTTACTCCCCTCCTTTGCCTGCCCCCATGTGTCTGGATAGGAGCCATTCCATGCCAACCTCCTATCCTGCATGTCTGGATCAGGGCTCGGCTGCTCCCTGCCCCTCCACCCTTGCCGCCAATCCATCCAGATCAGGGCCAATCAGCCCGACCCCCACCCCAGATGTCTAGATTGGGGTTGCCCTGCCTCATCTCCCCCAACCTCCACATGTCCAGATTGAAGCCATTCCTCCAGGCCCCAAGCCACACATCCCGATTAAGACTACTCTGCCCTGCCCCTGCCTTGCATGGCCAAATTGGGGTGCTCCACCCCATCTCCCCCAGTCCCCACACGTCTGGATTGGGATCACTCCACCCTGGGTCCCACCACCCTGATCATATATCCAGATCATGACCAGGTCACTCCCCACCACCACAGCAGAGGATCGGAGTCAGGCTGTGCATCCTCCTGTGGCTGGGGACCCACCGTGCTGGCTCCACATGCCAAATTGAGCCCATCAATTGGGTCCAGTCTGCAGCTGGACTTGTCACTGCCCATTCCTAACTGCCACTTTTTTCCTCAGCATTTCATCAAATTTTCTCACTTCAGAGTCTCAATTCTGCAAATGGCTGGTAATTTGGCCTTGATCCAGCAAAGCACTTACATTTGCCAAACTATTTGCATAGTTAAAGTTAGGCAGTTACTTAAATGCTTCAGCACATTGAAGGATCAGGCCCTGGAATGTTAAGGAATTATTGAGGGATTATGGAATATGGAGTCTTTGCCAAATCTTGGGGCAAATCTTGGGGCGGGGGTGCAGTTGTACTTCCCTTTGATTCCTGCTCCACCCAAACTTTAAAACCAACTACCTGGGAAGGGGCAGCAGCATTTCTATTCAGGCAATGCTGAGAGAGTCAAATGGCTCATTATCATCTCCCTGATTCCTGTTAATCTCTCTCCACTCCACAGATATTAATGACCTCTCTCTTTAATGGTTTTGATGTTCAAAGTCTCCTTTCTTCTGCAGTTTTGCTATCTGGTAGCCATTCCTGGTAATGTCTCTCTTCTATTTTACAGCCTTTCAGAATATTTTTAGTGCTAACTAAAAATAGAAGTGGCTAACAGTGAAGTATTGGAGGCACTGTCAATACACTTAAGGCTAGATTTTGTTATATTAATCTGAATAAAAGCTGTATACTTGACTATAATGACTACAGGAGTCATGACAATATTTTTTGACTATTTTGACTATTTTCACCTAGTTTATTATGACTTTTAAATTTTATTCATAATTAACAAATTAGTGTACATTTCCATAGTTATATTTGGTTTTGCTTTGATCTTAAACTGAATAGTGTCGTGCTAGCTTCCTAGCATATTAGTAAAGCATCTAGTTTCTCTTTAACTGGAAAAAATAATTTGTTGTTTTATATGGGATTATGATCCACACCATCTGCACCCCGCCTTTTCAGATTCCAAGATCCACCCATGACCAAGCCTGGGAAGCAGTAGTCTTTTTTCCAGCCTGGACTCTTACTAAGACAGAAAACTAACGGGTTATTCTTTTCATCTCTAGATTCTGAAACAGCGGTTCTCAATCTTCTTAAACACAAGGCACCCCTTGTAAAATGCCAGCCCTTAGCTTTCACTTTTTTCTGTGGACTATGGAAAAATAATAGAGCAATTATTCTGTTGCTAAGAACTCAAAGTCTATAGCAGGTCACAATGTGTTTGACATTATGGATTCTTTTTTTAATCTGTGAGTTTATCTTGTGACTCGTGTGTAAATGTGTGCATATCTAACAGTGCTAAAAATGCATGGCAACCTGCAACATCCTTAACAGGATCTCCCGGCACTCTGGCTGACAATCACTGTTCTAGGAGTTCCATCCTCTAGAACCGTCTCCTCTTCAGGTACTTGTCATCTACATTGCATAATCTTCAACAGAGGCCAATAACATTGGTTGTTTTGCTTTATATATTGAGCAGCTTCTAAGGACCAGGAGTATCACAATCTATATCTGAACTGTACAGCTCAGACAGGTAGAGATTGTCAGGCTCTTATTGTAATAATAGTTTGGTCAGTGTAAGGCCAGGATATTATCTTGTGCATCTGTCTTTATTAATAATAAAGTGTTTTAGAAAACTTCAACAAGGAAAACTTAGTGTCCTTCCCGGGTTTGACCTCACTCATTCCAAATATCACATATACAACCAAGCAGACAACCAACCAAAGAAAACTCAAATTCTAGATCCTAGATGTGAATTTAATATTGGTTTTATTAGTATACAGAAAGTCCCCACTGCTTTAAACTACTTGACTTTCTTTAACTGGAATGGTATTTAAAAGCATAAGATACCAGAGGGCATGTAACATAATTGATATTTCAAATTATTAATAATGCTTTGTATTGTGAGATCTTTCCTGAGTTCTTCAGTTCAATGGGAATTTGCCTAACTAAAACAGAAATAGCAAATGAGTAAGCAGCCCAAAATTTTGTTTTTAATTTTCAGTGCTTTTTATATACAAGGGTTCACATCCTGAAAGCAATAGGACTGTTCAAATCAGCAAGATAAACAGGGTTTGGTCGCTTAACTTTCTAGCACTGGTAACGCACAGCTTCTGCCCAAGTAACTACACAAGGGGCAAGGCAGTGAAGAATCGGGTCTGTTCAACCTGACGGTGGGTGGTTGGACCCAGAAAAGTGTTGCACGAACAGGCCTGGGGACGAAAGGGTTACGGGACCTTGTTTCTCCTTCTCTTCTCTCTCTTCCCGTTGGCGGAAAAACAATTAAGGAGGCGGTGTAACAAATAAATGCTTTACTCACACTTTCATATAGGTGGTTTCCTTTACAGCAGTTTCAAGAATAAACTCGCTGTTAACTCGAGAGCTCTAATTCGGTCGTGATGGGGGCATCCGGGGGGAAGGGATTTCGTGGATGCAGGACCTCCGGTGAGGGTGATCAGGCCTCTCCGATATGGCATGGGTCCCAGCTTTTTGGCGCGCGCGCTTTTCCTTTTAAACAGGCTGCATCTGCCCGCCCCCTGCCAATCAGCCCAGGACCGCCGATCTCGCGGCTATCAGGCCGTGCCCACTATTTCCCCCACGCCATGAGCACAACTTGCTCTCATGCTTGGCGTTTGGTCATTTATATTTTCTTTTTCTTTA